AGAAATTACAATCTTTTTTGGGCTCTGAGTAATAAAGTTAAATTAATAAACATGAACACAAATTAATTATAGTATCAAAAAACAAAGAAAGTTATTAAATGCTTTTTTTTAAGTTTGCATTATCAATGTATTGAATTAGTGTTTTCAGTAAATGTTTATCTGATGCGTTGATGATTGTCTTGAATTTTTCTGTTTTGTCCATCTCATGTAAATTAGTAAATATTTTGTTAAATTAGTAAATATTATGTTAAATTCATCATAAAGAGTCTTTCTTTCAGAAGAGTAAGCTTTACATATCATTTGCATACATTTTTGTATGTATTATGCAGTTTCCCAGCCAGTCCGACTCGAGTAGTGATTGGTTTGCTATTTCATTACATCTTGCAGCCTTTCAAACAGTATATTGCTAGACATGCATCAATTGTTGTCCATGTATATTCCTAATTGCTCAGTGTAAACTGCAATTTCTTTCTGGCTGGTATAAATATATTAAGGAATACGTTTTCGTACTGAAAAGACGGTACACAAATATCTTTTTTAATTAAATTTAACAGCTAATGGGAGCACATATGCTACAACCTCTGCTTACTTTTGACTAAATGTTTTTTTGTTTTTTTCAGGTGCAGAACCAGAATTTGTTTCTCAGAAAGCAAAGCCACTGAAACTGCATATATTACAAAAGCATACTATTCGCTGCATGTCTGACAATTGTATAAAGTTTTGCAGGTCGTCTTTTTTTTTTCTTTGAGAAGTGCTGTCAACCAAAGCATAAATATTATGTGTTTCTCTGTACATAAAAATTCAATTTCACACGATTTGTTAATATTAATGTATGATAATAAAAACTTGATAATATTTTTCAGGATTCTTGCACTTTATTTGTATCATTGTCATATGAGAAGTACTCTTGTCTGTATTTAGAGATATTGAAACTAATTCAGGGCCATAAACTACATGTAGATCTGTACATGAAGTACATGGGAAGTAAAGTTGTTGACACAGGTATAAATGTACACCAAGGATCATTGCAGTTTCTCAGTTCCTCATCTGGTGCTAGTACTTGTATGACAAACGGTATCTTTGCCCTGTTACCGTCTAAAATGTTAAAACAGTTTTTCGCTGGAACAGTTCTGTGATTGACAGTGTTCTTTTATTAGGAATACAGTTGTACAAGGAAGTTTATCCAAAGAGACACAACACTGACTCTTCAACATATTTGATTTGCATACTTGCATGTCATTTTACCTGTTGTACTTGTTTGTTGCTCTCTGGTGTTCTTGTTAAGACCAGGATGGAGAGTGCTATAAACTTGAAAATGCCATAGAAATCATGTTTGCCAATTTATGTCCATGCCAAAAACTGGACAAATTATGTTGCAACTTTCAAATGACAAGTGAAGGCAGTGTCATTCATGACCTGTTTAATTGGATAAATTTTTACGACTTGGAGGCCATTTTTTCCCTCAAAAATCTAAAAAAACCAAGCTTTTTCTAGCTGTTACCAGCTTTTTCTCAGATATGTGTCATCCAGTTTTGTACAAAGTTGGTACAGGGACAGGTAATAATTGTTTACAAGTGCACATCGCATTATATGTTTAACAAGTTATAAATTGTCTCAGAAAAGCCAAATGAATAAATTTTTACCCCACCCCCCTTAAATTGTAACATCAATTCTGAACAATTAATAACGGAATTTTAATACAGCTTATAATGAATTAATTCACTCTGACACAAACTTTGTTCATTATAAGTTTTTAATTCTTTTTCTGAGCGGGGGCTATGACATGACATATCATGTCTTGTTTTATTTCATTTTTGGCTCTTGTTCATTCGGCGAGTTCGCGAAACAAGGGATAATAAAAGTCTGGCCTAAATTCAGCTCCTATAGCCAGTTTCCAGCTGTGAAGAGACTGGGTTTCTGCAGTCTGTGACATGATATTGTTATTATTTCCATCCCAAGACCAGACAGTGGATTGGATAGGTAAACTTATACCCGTGTTGAACAGAAAAAGCTTGGCTGAAGGAATACCTGTCAAATAGTATGTGGTTGTGATTCACACTTGATGAACAATTTTAGATTCCACTGAATAATGTAATTTGTAGGTTAGTTGTAATTAGATTTCAATTGGTAAATTGAATATTCCAGCTTATACTGGATTTTATACTAAACACACACGCAACACACATTCAAACTAAATACCATTTAAATTTATCATCGCATATTTCTTCTGACAAACCTTGCCGATTTATTCAATTTATTCAGTGTACACAAAAGTAGACAATTCTGTGTGATACTGTGAAAAACTGAAAAAAAATACAATTTTACTAAATTCTCCCAACAGGCAACTTTTATTGTTTTTTTCACATGTGTAAACAAAGTTAATAAAGGGGAAAACCTTGATTTTGCAATAAAATATCTTAATCTCAACAGTCTTGTGATCAAAACACAGACATGGATATGCACAGCTACAATAATTCAAAATACAATTTTATAATCACTCTTACATGTATAGCTTTGGTAGAGTACTGTTCTATATAATATACACTATATTGATTAACTTTTATATACAGCTACAAAAATCACATTTTCTCAACTGGAAGACTAAACAATACAATGTTGTTTTTTTAAACACACATTTACATACCTCAATAAACAAACTTTCAAATAATGTATTTGTTAATTATCAAATATCAAAAATAAATATTTAAACATTAACACACTGTGTCTATCTTATTCACACCATGCTTAAGGTATGTATATATATATATATATTAACAAAAATATTGAAATGTCATGGTTTTTCTTCACACATGAGGTCTATTGGTTATACACAATCAATTAAAGTTATGTTGATTGGGCAGCAACATTTTGTTGGCTAAGGGTACCTTTAACACCTGGTAAACCACTGCATGTAATGTAAAATGTTTTCAAACAAATATGACAAACTAATTATTTTTGGCGAGGTTTTGTCATTCAGCGTAAATGTGTGGGTTCCTATTTCTAAAAAAACAATCTTGTAAATGGTCTGTTTAGTAAATATACAAAATTAACTTGGGCATGTATTTTATTACAGGAACACTTGTAAATAAACAAATAATATAATCTTTCAGTTTTGTACTAACCTACTTTTATTAAATGTAAATCAGAATGACAAGAACCCTGTGTTTTATTGTCAATGAGTGGACAGGAGCCCACACTGGGGTTAAACTATCACAGCAAATGCAATGGTCAGAAAGAGCAAATCACAATCAAATTTCCCTGAACCAAGCCAGATTAAATACAAAAAATAATCTGAAATTAAATATGAATGTATTCACTGAATCAGGAAGTCTAAAAGTAGGTGAATTTCCAACCACTTGCTTTATCTGGATTAAATACTGTATGCAGTATGATTGAGTCATGTAATTTTGAATGATGATTTTTCTGGTACTGACAATTAACAATCTGTGCTAGTGAATTAGTATTATTTTCATTTTCATTTTCATTGCATATTTGCAAATGTATATCATAACCAGTTCGTTCCTGAACAGCATCAACTAGAAATTATATTAAACAATACCACACACTCATTCATGGTTTATTTGGCATCCAAAGGCTAAATTAAAAATGAAATTTCAGTGCAAATTAATTTGTGTTGATAAATTGCATTACTTGCTTTAATACATGCATTAACAAATACCATGATGAAATAAACAATATGTCAAGTGTTATTAGTGTTTTTTAGAGATTTCTCACTGGTATATTCATTAACAATTATAGCAAAGTCTTTTTTAAGGATTTAGCATTGTCAGAGTATAAGTTCATACTTCTAAACTTGTTAGGAAAAAAATGTTTTTTTAAGTTAGTATGTATCTATCTATCCATCCATCCATCCATATATATTTATTTATTATTTACAGAAATGCATGTACACAAGGTACAATTTCTACTATTATGAAAATTCTTGTTTTAAAGTTTGTCTTTAATGAGCATTTGAAATCCTTTCTCTGCTGAGGTAAAGAAATTGGAGCAAGTTCTAGCTACAATTTTAATTATACATTTGTGCGTAATCTGTTAACAATCAAATATGGTCATAAGTTCAGCCCCAATATGGTGGGAATAGGCATTCAGCCCCTTGCTATTGAAATGCTACCTTTAAGGGTTTGCATCAGTAAACAATATTTTTGATACTAACTTTTACTAATAAATGTTAACTACTCTTAATCCAGTCCCCCTAATGAGGTAGGACACAAGTGTTAATACTGACCAAATTTATTCAGGTCAAAAATACAAATGTATGTATAAAAACAAAACATGTATTGGTCATTAAGAAGTTCATAAATGTCACAATTTTTGTTGATTCATATTTAAACATAAGTTAACAGAAATTCTATTGGCATACGAGTCTTGTTGCTAGGTATTTTTGCTAATTTACTCTACTATGCAAGAATAACAGTAAAGAAAAAAATATTTCTCATCATTGCACAAAAAGAACTTCCCAGAATGCATTACTCTGCGAGTTTAAAATAGTCCATGAACAAAATGAAAGTCTTCCAGCCATGAATATGAACCCCCACCCAAACAAGAAAAGGTTTAACCCTTATCCTGTCAGCCATATGTACTTTTTCATTGACTTGACCAGATAAGGGTTAAACTATTTTAAAACGTAGCAGTTGGAATTAAATGAATCATCAGACTTATTATTTTGAATTTCTCTTGATTGTCAGAAATAATACAAGGTAATTCTCATTGAGTATTACAAAGCCGAAATTATTGCTGAGGTTACACCTTCCAATGAGTTCATGTCAATTGATAAACACATAATTCAACACTCTAATCATTGATGAGTTTTGTAGAAACATCCATTCAATGGTGATGGCAACATGTGCATTAGTGAACTTGTGTTTCCAAACTGGTGTTAGAAAACTTTTCACAGTTCCATCATCAGTCATTATAATTCTTGAGAACATTAGGAATTCAGGCTAGCACCAATCATTCAAAAGTTCATTGAGGTACTGAGATCAGTGCTTGCAAATTGGCGGATTAACATATCCAAGGACATTAAACTCAATAAGAACAGTAAAGACCAGGAAGACAATATACACACATATGAGAGCAAAACCCATCTTCTTGTTCAGTTTCCAACCATTGCAATGAATACAGCCAACCTATAAATACATCAATGAATAGAAAAAAAAATAATAAAATAAAATAATTGTCATGATTGATTTTTTTACCTGAATAAAAAAAACAGTAAAGGAGAAACTATAATAAAACTTGTGATAAGTAGGCATGGGTACACACAAATGCATATCAGAAAGCCATACTTAAATACAACGTTTCTACAAGTCACACTGAACCTCTAACGATTGATTATTTTAAAATTAATATTGATCATAGTGCATATGCTATACTATGTACTGAAATAAAACAAATACAGTATTCTAAGCACCTACACAACCAGAAAGAGTTGACTATTTGGATCATGCAAACTAATGTGCGTGTACATAGTCTTTGGGGCAAGATAAATTTTTAGGTTAATTTCACATATCTTTACAGGATAACTAGATAATTATAACACATAAAAGAAGATTATTTTACACTTCCTAATTTCTTTCTACTCTGAAGCTGTGAACATTTCTTGTATTTATTAATTTCCAATTTCGAATCGTTTCATACAACAGGTATACAAAAAACATGTGTATATAAAATATTATAAATATGTTCAAATGAAAAAAAAGTTGCATTTAATGTATATTAGATCATTAAAAGATCTGAATTACTAACTTTATCTTGTCTATGTCAAACCATTATCAACAAAATTTGTCAAGGTATGTGTGAAAATGGTTACTACAACTGCATGAAGCATGTTAGCAAGCAACTTTGCTAATCAGTTAGCAATTTTGCTTTCAGACAAACATCCATTACTTTGACTGTGGTGCTGACAAGTTTATGTATGATAAACTAGTGCATCAAACATGTACTTATATACCAGACAGTAAACTTTGTGATATGAACTATAATCCTGTTTCCCTGGGAGTTCAAACAGAAATATGTTTTAGTAAATACAAATTGTAATAGCAAAATAGAAACATATTTCATATGTATGGAACAAAACACAAATATATGGCATAATGTATGTTATAAACGTCTATCAAAAGGCTGTAGTGGTTCATACACCTCAAAATAATAGTAGACATGTCCAATTCTGATCGTAGTGTTCTTATTTTAAAAGCCTGGATGATTGTCTGAAAGTGACATTGCTAATTAACATGCTGCATTTGCGTTCGAATCCATTGTCCAGTGATAGTAAGAAGAACTAAACATAAAATCAATGAACTATCAGTTGGGCATTTTGAATCAAAACACATAAGCAGCCTATCGGCTGATATGGCTCAACTGTATGGCTGAAAAAAGTTGACCCTATCATTACAAAATCAACAAATCTGTTGAGGCCCATCCAGGGTGTCTACATATATAATATCAAAGCAATTGGTCTAGCCATTTTAAAAATATTTTCTTTTACCCAAAATTAGAAAATTGAAAATATCACAAAATTAACAAAGCTGAGAGGGGTCTACCTGTAGTACCTATATGTATAATATCAAAGCAATTGAACTTGCAGTTTTCAACAAGAAGTCGAAAATATCACTTTTTACCAAAAATGACTATAATATTCATCAAAATTAGAGATTTGATGAAATCATCACAAAATCTGAGAGAAATCCCCCAAGGTGCATATACACCAAGCATCACAGGAAGTGGACATGCCATTTTCAAGAAGATGTTGAAAATGTAAAGTTGAAGTCGATGGACGATCATGGTCAATCAGCAATATGAACAACTCTGCTCTGTTGACTTAACTAACAGCATCAAGTGTGTTGTTCATACTAAGTTTGAATGAAACTGAACCAGATACACATATAAAATGGTTGATGACGTATTTTTTGAACAAAAATGGTCGCCAGTCAGTCAAAAGTCAACGAAACAAAAAACAAGTCAACTTTATGATTAAAAATCTCTTTTTGCCAACTTAATAAGTCCAGGCATGTCTGAGAAATTATGTTGGATGGACAGACATAAATCTGTTGGTGGACTAACAAAATATTAAAAGTGAGTTGATTACGTACCGTAAGTGCTACACTTCCAAACAATAATATAACAGAATATCTCAAACCACGGCTGTTAATAACAACCTGTAACCAAGAGAAATACAAATACAGGAGTAAGTTATCTGTATTTCAAATTTCAAAAATATTGGTTGAAATAGATAATTTTTTTTAACTATCTTTCACCTACATGTATATATATATATACTTACAATAGACCCATAATTGATAACTGTTGTCTTTAAAAACCATGGTAGTGCCAATCCAAGTAAAATGTCAAAGATATTGCTGCCAACACTGTTGGAAACTGCCATGTCTCCCATTCCTATTGTAAATAACAGTAATTAGAAATGACAGTCCCGTTTACAAGTTATAGTGTCTTTGTTACTTGAAATTATATAAGTCACTGATAAAGCTTAAAGTAAATATGCAAGCAGAGACAAATAATGAAGAGAAAAATAGCCACCAGCTGAAAGAATGAAATACAAAAAAAGGGAAAAACAAAGGTGTTCACCACATTTTTTTTAACATCTAGGGACCAGAAAACATCATTTTTTTGAGGCGAAGCAACCTTTGCTACATGTCATTCAATAGGACCTACTGCATCAGCTTTTACTATGACTTGTGGATTAATACTTGAATGAATACATAGTAACTAACCTTGTCGAGCAACAATTAAACTAGCCATTGCATCAGGAACACTGGTACCTGCAGCTAGGAATGTAATTCCCATGATCGTGTCTGGAATACCGAGAGTGTATCCTATCAAACACACCATCCATACCATTAAGTAGGAGAAGAGCATTATGTAAATTATACTCATAAAAAATGTTACCAAATACCAACGTTCCCATCTGTTGTAATAATTGAAAAGACACCAGTTAGTTGAATTACAAACAAACATGTAGCAAAGCACATCTTTAATCATACAATCATAGAATCGATGTATCAAGTTTTATACAACTAAAAAACATGTAAGAATTTAAAAATTAGCCACATTGATGTGCTATCCAAACAATATGTGCTTTGAATTTTAATCATTGAAATTATTTCACACTTATCTATCTATATATATATTATATATACTGTAAAAGGATTAATTATTCACTGGGTTTTAATTTTGCTTATTTTGCTGTCTGGAAAATGCGCTAAATTAAATCCCAGTGAATATGTAAAATTTAGCATAGAACACATTATATAAATGATTGAACCGTGAATTTAAAACCCCACTGAATATGCCTGAAATTGTAAATAAGCGAACTTTAAACCCAGTGAAAATTAGTCATTTTACAGTATATGACATTCAAGTACTACTCAGATGATGATTTTTTTTTTTTTTGTAGAACATCATGATTTGCACACAAACACAATTTAATACTGATTGAATACTGAAGTTTGTTTACTTATTATTTTGTTACTCTTGTATTGTTTCTTTAACAAGTTAAAAAACATACCTGCGCTTTCTACAGTCTGGAATGGTGAAATGCATTATAACTGATAATGGCCAAGTGATAATCCATTTAGTAACACCAAAACAGGTATCTAGAATGCAACAATAAACAAGCATTGAAAATACCCAGTTCCAGTGTTGTTACCATGTCAATATTATTGTAGAAGAAAGCCGAGGTATACAAGGTGAAAATGACAATTTTTGTTATGCAATTATCTTGACTTTTTTAGCCTGTACTGTCTGCAAAAAAAGCTTAATAGATAATCGTATTGTTTTCAGGACTTTTATACTCTACTTTGCTCTGCAAAGATAAGAATATATTACATCTCTAGTTTGTTATCCATTCATACATTACTTATTTAACCCTGATCCTGCCAGCCATGTGTACTTTTACATTGATTTGACCAGATAACGTACATAATAATATAAACCCAGTATCAAAACAATTGGAGTACAGGTTTTCAAGAATAAGTAAACAATAATATTTTCGAGTAAAAATTACAAAAATATTCACCAAAACTACAGAACAAAAGACATCACCACAAAATATTTAAATCTAATAGAGGTCCACCCAAGTATCAAACCAGTCAGAGCAGAAGTTTTCAAGAAGTTGAAAATTTCATTTTTCACCAAAACCAAAAATATTGGGATAGCTTCGCTGTTAGCAATGCACATTTCAATTAAAGAACAGAAGATATCATTAGAAAATGATCAATATGTATAGTATCAAAGCAATGGGACTTGCTGTTTTCAACAAGAATTCAAAAATATCACTTTTCACCAAAAATGACAAAAACAATCATCAAAATTAGATAATTGAAGATATCACCACGAAATTAACAAATCTGAAAGAGGTCCACATGTAGTACCTATATATGTAATATCAAAGCAATTGGACTTGTAGTTTTTAACAAGAAGTCAAAAATATCACTTTTTACCAAAAATGACAAACATATTCACCAAAATTAGAGAATTAAAGATATCATTACAAATTGAACAAATTTGAGAGAGGTCCACATGTAGTACATATATATGTAATATCAAAACAATTGAACTTGCGGTTTTTAACCAGTTGAAAATATCACTTTTTACCAAAAATAACAAAAATATTCACCAAAATTAAAGAATTGACGATATCATCATGAAATGAACAAACCTAAGAGAGGTCCACCCAAGGTACATATACACCAAGTATCAAAGCATTCAGGCTTGTAGTTTTCAAGAAGAAGTCGAAAAAGTAAAACATTGACACGGACGAAATCAAAGAAAGCTTAGAAAGAACTCCCGTGTGCTGAGAGAGTATTGAAGACACGTTAAAAATTAATTAAAAATTACTTGTACATATTGATGGAAAAGCTGAAAACTAATTATGTAAATCAGGTAACTAATATGAACAGAACAGAACAGAACAAAAAAATTAAGAATTATTATGCTAATTAGAAAAATAATATGAGCAAATTTTAACCCAAAAATAATCAGGCCTGTCTATTGTCCTAGAGCATTTATGTACCAAATTTTATTCAAATGTGATGATCAGTTATTGAGATATCAGTGTTAATAAATTATGTTAATTAGGTGATTAATAAGCATAAATATTTACCAAAAACTAATGGGGTCTCTGCATAGTTCTCTTTCAAAGTTTCATTAAAATCCAATTTGTGGTTCTTTATATATCAGTGGAACATTATGCAAATTAGGTAATTAATATCCAATTAAAACTAATCAGGTCTCTGCATAGTCCTAGAAGATATATGTAGCAAGTCTCATTGAAATATGATGATTAGTACTTGAGATATCAGTGTAAAAGCCGAAAATTGATTAATCATTATGCAAATTAGGTAATTAATATTGCTACCCAAAACTAACCAAATCTGCACATTAGTTTGGAGCATCTATGTGCCAAGTTTCATCTAAATCCAATGAGTGGTTCTTTAGATATAAGTGAAACAGTCATGGAACAGCTAAAAATCAGCTAATTATCATACAAATTAGGTAATTAATATGCATGGCTTTTTACCAAAACCTAATCAAATCTGCGCATTGGCCAAGAGCATCTATGCACCAAATTTCATCAATCAATGTATGGTTTTTGAGATATCAGTGGAACAGACACACACACAGACAGACACACACACACAAACTGCAAAGACTCCCTTTTTGTGCTTCACGCATGGGAGTCAAAAATTAGGTACATAATTATTTACGTTTTATTTAATTATGCATAGACATAAACACAGCCATTAAATAACAGCAATAATGGCCATTATTAACCATAAGGGTCATAGTACTTACTGGGAATTGTGCAAATGCCCCAATCATCTTCATCTTCTTCTGATCTATATATAAAACATATTGATGAAAAATTATCTTCATGAAAAAATGCTTTGAATGACACAATTAGCACAAAATTGGATAAAAGATGTTTAGGCTAATTTATTTCTCATGTTTTTACTAGAAATATTGTTTTTTAGGTAAATAATGATATAATAAGCTGATAAACTTTCTATATGTTCATTTAAAGATTGTTAAAATCTGTGCGGTTCATCCTTAGAGCACAAATAGTAGTTGTGCATTACATGAAACCCACATCAAATACTTAGACTTCAATATTGCATCAATATTATGGTGTTACAAACAATAATTGTGAAATTATTTTAACTTTGCAATAGACATATTTTAGTGAGACAGGGAAAAGCTCACAGTAGCAGTGAATATTCCTTTGAAGTCCTTGGGGCAGAGAAGTTGAAATTTTGTGTTTGCAAACTCCCTCAAATGAAAATGGCAAGAATTTCTAGCAGCAATTCATTACAGTACATGTGCATACTTTCTGAAATGTCAGAAACCACGCAGATAAATATATGAATACAAGTCAAATTAGTTAGTTAACTGCAAAAACATGCAACTAGCTAAATATAAAACAAAGATAGAAACAGTGGATTTATTCCATGAAGTCAAAACACTGCATGGCTACAGCACATTCCAAGTAAAGATTTTATTTGCTTAATGTAGTAATTAAGGTGAACAACTATAGATAAGATTGGGACAATCTTCTACAATAAATCTATCTGTGCCATAAAGCTACATACATGTATAATAACTGTAATATGGGTCACCCACATCTTACTTTTGTTGGCAATTGGCCAACTCAAGAGAAGTTTAATTCAAAGGCTATGAGCGTGTATTTTTCAAATTGTTTCAAAAATGTTGACAAATGTGATAGGGAGCTAAAGTAAGATTAATGGTACCAACAGGGTTCTATGCACAAGTAAATAGCACATACAAATGTAAACAGCTGGAAAATTTCAGTTATTTGTATGCTATCATCAAAACATATCAAATGATATGACATATTACTTTGTATTTACTTATTTGCTACAATATGGGATAAAGTTGGCTTAGTTTTACATTTTAGACACTTTTCTGTATTATATTTCAAACAGAAGATCCTGTTTTTCCCCTTTCAGCATTTCAAGTGATACAATTAAAATTAAGAGCTCCAGACTGGCCATTAATTTAATCAAATATAAATCAGATATAAATCAAAGAAAGCTTAGAAAGGACTCCCAACTACTGAGAGTGTATTTGAGGAGTATTCAAAATGAAATCAAAATTTGAGATTAGTTTTTCAACCAAGAAGCTTTGCAACTAATATTTGTGATAGATAGAAAGCAAAATGATCCACAGTATTGAAGTTTATAATACCCACAGAAAACAAATTTATCTAATTTATTCCAGACCATGCACCTCTAATAATAATTAGGTAATCGATATGTATGGTTTTCAACATTCAACTAATCACGTCTGTAGATTACCCAGAGCTATGTATCAAATTTCAATGAAATGTGATGATTATGCATGATTACACAAATTAGGCAATTAGTATGCTTGAATTTCAATCCAAAACTAATCAGGTCTTCAGCATTGTTCCCAGGCACTTGTATACTAAGTTGTATTGAAATGCAATAATTAGTTTGTGAGAAATTATTGTGCAAATTAGGTACTTATAATGCATGATTTTAACCAAAAACTAATCAGGTTTGTGTATTGTCCGGGCACATAATATTATGTAAAAAGTTTCATCAGAATGTGATGTTTGATTCTTGAAATAGTTTGTGGATGCTGTAAAATAAAATTATATGAAAATTAGGTAATTATTATGCATGTATTAAACCCAAAACTAATTAGGTCATTGCATTATTCTTTATGTATTTATGTAGTTTGGTTCTGCCTGTTGAGAACATGTCAACTTAACTTCATCCACAAATTTGTTCGCAATGTACACCTCAAATATCAAAGCAATCAGGTTGGCAGTGTTTCCAGAAGAATTCAAAAATAGCATTTACAAAAATTTGCCAAAAATAGAGAATAGATATTGGCACAAAATGAACAAATTTGATAGAGGTCTACTAAGGTACCTACCAATAAGTATCAAAGCAATTGAGCTGGTAGTTCTCAAAAAGAAGTCAAACATAGAGCATTTTTCTACAAAAAATATTCACCAAAAACAGAGAATAGAAGTTATCATCATGAAGTGAACAAATCTAACAGAGGTCTAACTATGGTACCTACATACCAAGTATCAAAGCAATTAAGCTAGTAGTTTTCAAGAAGAAGTCAAAAATGCAATTGTTGGCGATGATGGACAGTCACCTATATGAACAGCTCCGCTCTGTCATCTATGATGTCAGTGAAGCTTGAAAGCAGAAAACTGACTACCGGTAATTATTATGCGAATCAGTAAATTAATATGTGCAGACTAATAAGGTCTGGGCAATGTCACAGAGAATCTTTGTACCAAGTTTTATTGAAATGTGATTAGAACTTGAGATATCCATGGAAAAGAAGAAAATTCACTAATTATTATCAAAATTAGATATTAATATGCACAGTTTTTTATCCCAAATTAAGCATTGTGGGGTTTGGAGTACCTGCATGCCTGAGATTGAGGAGCGAAAAATTAATGATTCATAGTAGTTGATACAGCCGGAACGCAACCCACTGTCACAGAGGGCGTTTATTAGACATAGGTCACGTGACAATTTTCAAATGTCGGCTATAAAATTACGTATTTCCGATAGGCCAGCAAAACTGTTATTTTGAACACAGTAGCCTTTGAAAATTTGAAATTTTTTGCCATATATAACAAAAATTAGTTCTTATGTGCTAAATAGTGCGCTTGATTCGTGCCAGCAGTATTTTTAGAATCGCCACACATCCGTTTTCCTGGTCGTTAGCGAGGGAAAAATGGGTCATCGGAGCGAGTTTTTATTATTCATAGTACTATTAATATCTTCTCCATGAAGACGGTGTAGCACGATAAGTAAGATATCGTTAGAAAGCTGAATATGTCGACTTTAAGCTCAGTGATTTTCTCAAAAATCGCTCTGCTTATAAAAAATGCGACATTTCCGAATCTACGAGTCTAAAATGGTAGAATGTATCTTCGTTTTACTTGTACTCTAGATTTTTTTACTAATGATCCATGATTTCATGCTATAGTGTACTTTTACTTGATAAATATCATGAAGTTCATATATCTCTTTTTTACTGATTCGACTATGATGTGTTTGCCTGTGTTGTACTTGTTTTGTCGATTGTTTTCAGTTATTTGTTTTGTGTTCTTGTACTTTTTGTAAATTTCCCTACACGATGTTTGTAAACAGATCCGCCAAATATTGTTTCCACTTTACAGAACATGCCCATTCCTCAATCGTAATATGAGTTTATATGTTTCTGCCATGGCATATATGTTAACATAATAATGCGGTCAGAAAATTGATACTTTTTAGAATTCATGATATCAAAAACTGAAATCACAAACCATCAGTACAATCACAGTCCCTAGAGGGACTGTGGTACAATGTGAATCAATGTTATGATATAGCATGTGTATATAAATGGGGCTTTGTGATAAAGAATCCTATTTTTTCATACACTTTCAATGTATCCGTAAGACAGAAGAAATTGTTATTTAATTATATTTTTAAAACCTTTTTATGAAAATGACTTTTGGTAACTCTAAAAACGTATATAACTTTATATTAGTCGGACGTTAGAAATATAATTTCTGTCTCTGTTTGTTAACCCATTGATAAGGACGAATAAAATACACCGAAACCCTCAACTTGACCTGAAAACACCACAATACGATTAGTAAGCATCACTTCCGCATTTATATAAAAACAGAATTTCGTGCCGTTGGTGGCGCTACTCAAATCTAATAATCGCGCCCAATAACGCTGGGCTGCGTTCTGGCTGAATACACTCACCCTTTGCTATCATCTTCAGTATCAGTATGACATGCCTCACCATTTACTCTGCCTTCAAGTGAGTCTTTATGATTGGGATGTTGATGGCCATTAGTTTTTTTCTGAAAATTAAGGTTTTATTCATGTAATACAAAAGGTAAGTGATGAAGATTCTCATAAACATTTTAAAAATATCTAAAATGATCATTGTAATACATGTATAGGTAGACAGTTGAACATTGAAGTTACACATATATACAGTTGAGTTAAGATAAGAACTTCTTTTTTTTTTATTTTCTGAATCTAAATCAAATTACCCAAAAGAAGGAATAACATTAATGATTATAGAAAAAAATAATTACTGTCAGTAAATTGTAAACTATATTCATGCTGTGTGAAATGCATTCAAAAACTGCAGTTTTCTCTAATTTCATTTACAATTAACAGCTTCGATTAACTTTGACCTTCTGTAAAGTCATAAAAAGTCAATATTGCATAGCCCACATCCTATATTGACAGATCAAGTAAGTCTATACCAACTTTGGTCTCATTTGGACTATTAGTTCAAAAGATATCAACAAAAATTCAAAATTCATTAAATATGCAAACAAGCTCATTAATTGAAACTCAATATTGCATAGCATATATCTTATATTGACAAATCAAGTCTCCCAAGTTTGGTCTGATTTGGACTAACACTTCACTAAGAATTCAAATTAATGATTAAATATGCAAATGAGCTCATTAATGGATTCCTTGAAAAAATAAATCAATGTGCATCTGTACCAGTGGTCACTCTGTACCAAGTTTCAAAAAATGGATTTTACAGGATTTTGACAATCAAAATGGCCACCAGGCAGCCATATTTTATCAAATCAGGAAATAAACCCATGTGAATATGTATACCTCCTCACTGTGTCTTTGTACCTAGTATCATTGAAATCTGTCAAGGCATCTCTGAGAAATATCAAACAATCTGTATGGGTGGTCCCTTTGTTTTTGTAACGAGTCTCAACAAGATAAGTCAAGCCATCTCCAGGAAATGATGATGGACACACAAGGACCGAATTTGAATTTGGCATTAAAAATGGCCGCCAATCTGCCATAGTTGATCGAATTGAAAAATAAATTGACGTGCACATGTATGGTTGACCACTATGTCTTTGTACCAAGTTTCCAAAAAATCATTCCGAACGAACTGACGAAGGCAAAACTACAAGCCCCCTCCTGGACTTTGTACAAGTAGGGGGTAATTAATACCAATGAAATAATAATAACACATGTAAAAATATGCATGAGACATAGTAAAACCAAGGTACTTATTCAAATGAACTTTTATATAGCCTCAAGGTCTTCCAAAAATGTAAAAGTAATACAAGTGAAAAAGAAAAGATCCAGTATACAAATATTAATTAATACCATTGATATGTGACATGTTCTCAAAGAATCATTTGTAAAACCTTACTTCAGCTATTATCATCCAACATGCTGATCTCATCCTAGTTCTCGCTGGAAAATGACTAGATAACATCAACCGTAAACCAGCATCAGGAAATGTTAACCTGAAAAAAACACACAAAGGACACATTTAGGTCATTAACTGTAAGAGACAACCACGATGTCTATTTTAAGTGGAGTCTTTGAAATTGATTATGTCTCAAGTTGTACCATAACATCTGCATATATGATATATTTTGTTTATATAGTCGTTTTAATTCAAATTGATTGAGCTTTCAGCTTTAGGTAATTTTAATGTTTCAGCTTTGATGTGCTAATGGGTTCAGTGTGCTGGTTTAAACCTTTTAAGATTGATTTCTACTGATAACTATACAGCCTATCACAGTTGCTAAACATTTTCAATTATTTCTTTCCAGCAAACTAGTTTTATTTTGAATGGACAAGGAACATGGAGTTTTTTATATTCATCTTTGTGATATGAAATACATAAAAATAGACATAGCAACACCTCTTAATGCCATTCTTATTGCTAGTGATTAATCCAAGTGTACCAAATTTATGCAATAATAAATTTATGCACCAAAATCATTTAAAAAAACTAATTACACATGTATTGAATGTATCCTATTTATTTGCAGAAACAAAACATGGCACAAAATCATTATTTAAAAAAAAAATGTTGCAAAACTCAACATTCTTTGGTAATCCTAACTGGAAACTACAACACATCATGTCTGCGACAATTTCAACATAAACACAACTATATGGATGCAATGAGTTCAGTCGATGTGTGAATTCACATCTTTGATTAGGCTTGGCCATGTGTCAGTATATTGCTCTCAAAATCAACAACAAAGCTCTCAGTTGCAAACTGTGCATACTCACACTCAGTGATTACTAGAAATACATATGAATTAAGGTAGAGATGCAGGTTCGTGGGCACTTGGGAGTGAAATTTTTTTTTTTTTTGCTTTTTATTATTCAAACAGTCTTGGCTATAGACTGTTAACATTGTGTAGAATTCAACTCAAAAAACAATTTAAAAATATAGATAACAGGTACAAACATTCTCCTTTTTAAATGCTTAGCAAGATTTAGCAGGGCTGTACATAAATAATAAAAAAAAAGAGACAGTGAAAAACAGGAATGACGGAATCTTCATATAATGCACGGTATTTAACTTTTTACAAAACGATAATACATTTAAATTTGGAGCTGTTACAGCCATTTTAATTATGAGCATTAGCAAACTTCTTACTGAGTGAATTGTTATGCAAATTAGCAAATATCTCAGCTTCTTTTTAATGCACATCACAGAACTTTAAAAAAAAATAGCTCCTAGATGCTTTGACCTTTTGTTTTGAATTTTCACAAATGATTGACAATGTGTTCATCTTCAAAACGCCGTCGGGGCATTGTTTTTGGTTGAACAGTGTTACAACAATCGTACAGACAACTAGCCTGGGTGTTATGCATAAACTTGAAAGAGTGAAATTTGACCTGCTGCTTGCAAAATTGACAACTGGTAAACAGTTTTCAAGACGGCACTTTCTTCATAGTAAACAGATGTACCCGTAAACCAATTTTGACAGGAAACAGAAGCATGGTTTAGAAGCTATTTTTTTTTAAATCACTTTTGACCAAAAAAGCACATTTTTGTGCATATTTCAAACTACATTGTCTTTAAACAAAAAATACTAACAAAATTTTAAAATTCATACAATAAGCTTTCCGAAAATATATAGTTTTGTGGACAAGGGAGGTCATCTTGGTTTCCTAATTAACTAATTAAAATACCTGTCAGGTAAACTGCATCTCTACCTTAATCAGCAAGCTTGTCACTGGTAAATGTTATGGAAAATATTATGTGCAATTTTAAGCAATACAACTAATTTAAGTGAAATATCAAAGTGCTTCTGCATTCTGCATAAATTTTTAGTCTCCGTTCGAAGGTAGTCCAAAAACGGTTACTTATGTTTTGACCTCCGTGCGTTCGTTCTTCTGTCCTTGTGTGCGTGCGTCCGGACCTGTATCTTAGAAATGCCTGGACCAATCACAATCAAACTTCACACATACATCATACATGATGCACATTAATTTGTTTAACGATCTGATTCAAGATGGCCGAATCAAAATCAAGCATTTCTCGGCTGTTTATAGATGGATTTGTTCAAACTTGGTATACATGTTGGACATTATAGGACCTTGATGCACATCATTTTGTTTTTTAGATAAGATTCAAAATGGCCATTTTGTTTTAATAAATGTGGTTCTAATGCCATATCTCTGACTTGCTGTGACTGATTATATTCAAATTTTAAATATTTATAATACATCATGTCATAGATCTAAAGATATATTGGTTTGACGATCCTATTAAAAATGGCTGAACGATAGCCATTTTTGTGCTAAAAAATCATCAAAATCAAGCATTTCTCGGCTGTTTATAGATGGATTTTGTTCAAACTTGGTATATACGTTGGACATCATAGGACCTTGATGCAGATCATTTTGTTTTCAGATAAGATTCAAAATGGCCGACTGGCGGCCATTTTGTTTCAATAAATGTGGTTCAAGTGCCATATCCCTGACTTGCTGTGACTGATTATGTTCAAATTTTATATATTCACTATACATGTATTCAAAATGGCTGCTTTTGTTTTAATTAATGCTGTTCCAGAGAGCAATATCTCTCAATACTCGTTTGAAGATCAGATACAAATGTCAATCATTTAAATGCTAAACAATCATCATACTCATATTCCTGACATGTTTATATTCCAGCTATATTACTATAAATAAAAGTATATACCGTATTTATCCGGGTATAAGCCCAGGGTCTTGAACATGGAAAATTGCCAAAAAGAAGGGGTGGGCGTTTGCCAGGAGATCCCCGGCAAAAAAAACCGAAAATTGGCGAAAATTGACAACACGCAGTTCGAACTGCGGCAGGGAATGGAACGGCAAATGAAAACATGCAACGTAAATAAATGAACAATATGCAACACTAGAAGTAGAACAAAAATAATGTATTGCTTATAATGTGACAAATAAACCAGAAATAATAAAAATCGACAGTGAGGGATCATTTGAATTAGGATTTTCCCGCCGACAAACACGCCCAATACGCGTGAACTCAAAATGAATTAAAATGTCACGGGTTAAACTGCGTAAAATGATTTCCGGTCTCGACAAATTACGAATCAATCGTCATACAAGATCACCAATAATTTACAAATTTACACAGTAAAAATTATAAAAATTCATAGCTGATCTTTATTTGTACGTTCATTGCCATCTTCTTCAAACTCAAAACCCTCAAAGTCCAAGTCGCCGTCGAACAAAATCCCTACAACTTATTCCTGAAGTTCGTCGATATCGTCCCACACAATTTGGACTTAGCACTTTTAATCCACGGATTTCGCAGTCTGTCAGGTTGGCACTTTTCATTCATGTCTAATCATAATAAAGAGACAAGAAAAATGGGGTCGCTCTGCTGGGAAGGCACACGATGATTTTGTTTACAGTCTGGCAATCATCTTTGACCTTTATGCATCTGCTTTACTGATTGGCTAAGAATGACATCACTACTAGTATTTCATCATAAAGGTCAAATCGTGACATTGCTTTCTTATCAGACTCAACGCTTATTAATCACGGTGAAAGTTATCATTCAGCAAGTTCCGGCACTTGGAATGTATTACTATATGGATATCGCGGTGGACTTGAAATAGGAAGTTTTTTTTTTATCCAACGACACAAGAATAGTTTTCATGTCTTCGGCGTGACATTGCAAAATTGCTGACCCCAGTTATGGATTCGCAAGCTGCTACAAAATTTTATAAAGCCAAAATAACATGATTTCAACCCGCCAGGTACGGGTTGCTACAATATTGCAACATTGGTTTCATTGTCGATGGCGCTAAAGCCGAACGAGTGCGACACTTGCTTAGCGGCTCTCCTTATACTATTTGCCTGAATCGTTTCTAAAGAAGCACAAACCAAACGGCCGGTCATTTTTAGGGCCACGACATATTTCAAAAAGAGAACTACTGTTTCTGCTTTAATATATATTTTCATAGACTTGCTGACTGTTAGTATGATTCAGAACGCGCTGCCCTGAAGGCAGAAGGCTGTCACAGCTATTTTGCGTTCACCCCTTGTTTTACCCAATTAACAATTTTTATAAGTATCACGACAGACTTCAAGAAATTCAACTGTTAATACAACCACAGTCAACGAATAGAAAATAGTGTTTTTTTGTGTGTAGAAAAAGACCCCCTGGGCGTGTGCCCGGATTTGACCTCAACATCTTTATTGTGTCAAAAGTGGGGGGTGGGCGTTTGCCCAGGCATGGGCTCTTACCCGGATAAGTACGGTATCTTAAATTCGATAACTAACTGGGACTGTGCCATGCATGGCTTGTGTAACTTGTTATGATCACGTTAAAAAATAAATGTGTGGTTACTTTTACATCATTCATTCTTTTTCAGCTTGTAATGATATATTCAGGCAACTTAGAACTAATTTATGCAAATGAAATGTTTTTTCAGCCAATTGCTTACATTGTGGAGATACACATACATGTAACAGGTGTTTATAAATGGAATCTCTGATCATGGACTTACCGCTTTGGCGAGTTGTATATATACTCATCCACCATAAATACTTGTGACTTGTCCTCATCTGGTGATGATGGTGATGGTGTATTATTAACTGAAATAAAACAACACATTATATGACATCAAAATATATACCGATACAAGCAGCCGATTGGCTGATATAACTCCACTGGTAGTGATGTACATTTCGCAAGCAATCTGTACTACAGTGTTAAGAAAGAATTCATGGGTGCTTGAATGCATACATTTTATACAAGAGATATTTATAATAACACAATTAACAATAACATAATAAGGTCCTGTTAGATGAACATAAATTTACAATGGAAGCCACTCACTACCTACGTGTTCATCTGATTTTAATCAGATTGGGATATTACAAACAACTGAGTGAATATCAAAATAAGACAGTCAACTTACCAGATTGAAGTGGAATCATAACTGTAGTGCATCCAGGTCCATCCTTACATTTGTCATTTTCCTCCAGTTTCTTTGTTCTCTTCTTCCTCCGCTTTTCCGATTTCTTGTCAAGCCAATCCACTATCTTTGGATTTAATCTATAAAGAGGAAGAAAAAAATTATGAAATAATATGAAACCAATTAACATTCCTCAGTGGGGTCATTTTTCAGTATGCCTTTTTTTAAATGAATAAAAATTCGAATAAATGACCGAGAATAACCATAGTGTGATAATTTTTACCAACAATAGACAAAATTTAGTCAAGCCAAGAATTTGGGTAAGCTTAAAGCCTGCCTTATTTTCCCATTGTAAAACCACCTAAACATCTGGTTTTCATTATCAGCAGTATAAATATCCCCATTTGTCCACTTATTTCTCTGTTTAAGAGATGTTTATTTCAGCCTAATTTTACCCCAAAAAATTGCACTTGCTCGTCACATCAATCTCTAACTTGGTTGACATTTCATAGTGATTGATAAGATTCCAAATATGAAAATCATAGATTATAAGATAAAAATGGTTTGAGTTATTGTAAACACAAGAAGAAGACAAATTTAAGTGAAATTATCTTGAACAACATACATAGAACACATACCAAAATAGAACTTGGCAGGTTACCGGTAGTGTTAAAATATGCGAGATACATTGTAGGGTATATGTACATTTGTAAACTGCAATTTTTTCAATAAGAATTATGCTTTACATTTTGGCGACTATAATTGATCTTTTATATTTCACTTTAATGCAGCGAACTAAGTTAATGTATTTGTCAAGTGAGGTCACCACACAATGGTAAAATAATGTGGATTCCGATGTTTTATAATGATAATTATAGACTGTAGGGTTTTTCATTAAGATTATGACCAAGAGGCTCAATCATTGGAGTATATATAAAGCTACCGGTAAATTGTATTTTTTCACATACAACATCAAGAACATAGTTGAACTCTGGTGACCTTGCCCTTTGTTATATAATATAATTCCCTTTATCATAGTTTGTTTCAATATAAATATGCATTGTCATAATTAATGCTTCAATAAATGACACAAGACACAAGGTTTTGGCAAAAGTGGAAGGGGGAGCGAATTGCAGACGCAGGCGTCGCAGCGAACAGCTCCATGATGCGACTCGCCTGTGAATTGCATCATGACGCCGAGCGCGTGGTACCTGGTTGCAACCTTTCACCAGCAGAGACTGTACAGGCGGGCGTCATGGCTGGCGTCCCCCTGGCGGGAGCCTGCAGATAGACTCACAACCCCAGGGGGATGGACAGCGTGGGTACCCGTGTAAAGTCTGCTTGGTCTGTGGTGGAACCCCCTTACCTGTTTATTGCTAAGGTTGTTCATGAGCAGATAAACATGAGTTACACTTGAGTGAGATCGGTAATGGTATAGAAAGTGGTTATATAGAGACCTTTGCATGAATGGGTGGGTGGGAGGTCTGCTGAGACGATGTGTATCGTACGGTGCGGCAAAACGAACTGATGCTTAGAAGAGGATGCGAGCACAGATAAGCAAATGAACAGTCTGGTGTTAATTAATGTAAATCCGACTGAAGGACGAAATGTGAGCAAATATTGCATGAAGTACAATGTGGCATGGGAGGTGTCAAAATATGAAAGGGGGATGTCAGCTTGGTCAATGCATGTCATAATTGAGCATTAACACAGATTATAAATTATATTCATAATCATACTATAAATTATCTACAAAACTGCAACATGTAAGTATACTTCAAAGAATACAAATAAAAATGTCTACACTATGCAAACACATTAATGGTTTTACAAAAATGTATTAATCAGTACAAGTATAATAACTCTAAAGTAGGCTTAACAAATACTTCAACACAGAAATGTTTATTACGTCACAGCTAAATGCATTTCAGTATACAGCAACACTATTTATAATAATATGAAGTACACTTTATGTATACTTCAGCACAACAGAAATGATTTGATAATGGATAATAATTAGTTTGCAATTCAAGTATACAACACAGAGACATTAAGAATGTACACAAAATAAGCAGCTGCAAACCAGGTAGAAAAAATCTGAATATTCGGTTTCCTCTTTTTTTTC